ATTGAGGGGTAACCAATAGCAGTCAAGTGATAGAAAAAAAACGACTTTCTTAGGGTAAATCAAGAAGACGAGTTCGAATCTGATCTGTATTCGCCCCCAAGTCATATTGGGTGAGCAATAGTCAATAGAAGTCAAGTGTTTATAGGAAAGATTTGCCAGGATAATTTTGATGTCCACACATTCTAGGATGACTCATCTGTTTAATTCACTTTTTGAAGTACACATAACTCTCGGATTTAAATCCGAAGTTTCCACATTTATTTTTTTTAGTTGATAATAAATGAAGTCTGCGTCTTTTGATTCATCATTTGTTTTTAAAAGAATTCCCAGAAATGAATGTTGTAAGATTTCGTCAATGGTTTTTATCTTTTTCAGTTTTTGTTTAGTGATGTGCATATATTTGTTTTGTACCTTTTTCGTGTCTTAATCTGAGCATGTTATAATTGCATGGAAAGAGGTTGTAACTGGTTGAAGAGATATAGTAGGTCTCTTTGTCCGATGTACTATGACCACCATGAGGTCGCGTTTGGCATATATTTATATGTTCTGTCACTCCTGTTGTTTTTTTCTGAATGCTTCTTATAGTTAAGCGAGGTGTTGATGCTCTTGGTAGGATTAATCTGCTTGTTAATACTGGAATATATTGATTCTTTGATTTGCCGTGTTTTCGAATGAACCTCGTTCTCAATAAGAAATGTTGTATCCAAACGAAGTATGCGTTTATATGCATTAATATGATGGCGTTGTTCGATCCTAAATTCAATTTAAATGTATTTATTTTCAATTGTTCGTCTGTGTTGTGATTTGCGTTTATTTAAAGCAAGTTTTATTTCACTGTTATAAATTGCTCAACACGCACATGCTGCCGGATCAATATTCGATCTTGGCTTTGACCAATTGGGTTCGTAAGTGCCGTTTGAAGCTTATTAGGATAGAACGAAAATATTTTACGTTTTAGTTGTTCTGATTCTCTTGTTAGTACTTCTATTCGTTGTTGAAATGATACCATGTAATTTAGTAGTCACGTGCGTTTATAGTTTTGATGAATTTCATAGATTCTTTACCAGATGTATAATTGATATGTGATTGGTAGTTCAAATTTGTAAGAATTGCTTCAAGTATGTTTAAATCATCTGGTGGGCTGTTATTAGTATTTACTATTGTGTCAATTATTTGGTATGCCGTATTTTGAATAATATTAACTTCATTATCATGGATATTAGCTCAATAGTGGTTTAATAACCTCTCGGATGGTACTTATTTTCTGCACCATTTGATACTAATCGTATTGTGATTGTTTTTTCTCACTGTGGTATCAAGAAAATTAGTGGTATTAATTTTTTCATATTCATCAGTGAATCTAGTTATACTTTTAATTTTATTAAGGTCTTCGACATACGATTCAACTTGTTCTTAATAACTTGTGATTAGTTTAAGAGTGTCATCGAGATACCTCCATAACTTAAAAGGTAGGCTAACTTTTTCCAATTTTTATTTAAGTATTCATCCATGTAATGATTGGCTAGTTTGAGTGATAAAGTGTTACTCATGGGTAAACTTTGTATATGGTTGTAAGATTTTCCATTGAACCGACGGTAATCATTGTTTAGCGATTATAACCATACTTGTTTTAGGTCTATTTCAGTCAAATTTGGTGCATAGAAATTTTTCAGAATTACCTATTCCATGTAGAGCTGAACCAATAACTTCTGTTACAGGTATTTCCTTAAAAAATCTTTCATATCTAAAGTTAATGAAGTGTTCATCTTGGTCTAATTTGATTTTAGATATTTCATTCATAAATTTGAGCAGCTGACAAATTGAATTTTGAATTGTTTCTCTTAAGTGTGAACCGAATGGAAATGCATATCTTGATACAGGTGACAGAATTACATTTCATCTTCGCAAAATTAATCGCATTGGACAATCGTATTTACGTAATAATTCAGGTTATCTTTCTATTCTGGGAAGATCGTCGACTAATGAAAATTCATTTTTCCTTCTACGAGTAATTCGATTGGATATGAATAATCTATGCTTAAGTGTTGTTATTTTAGCCTAAACATTGTTTGTTGCCTCTTTTACTTGTTCATAGACATAACGGTCGTTCAGTTTTTCTTCGACTTGTTTTCAATGTTTTTGTTACTGTTTGTTTATTGGTTTTTAATTTTCATAGATCTTGGTCATTTGAATTGCATTCTCACGTATGATTTGTGATCTTCCTCGTTGTATTCATTAACAGCACATTTTTCTCTTATTATCTGTTATGTTATTTAACTGCACTTCTTCACGAAATTCGCTTTTCTTGTTACATTATTTTTAAAATACTTGATGTTTTTCTGAATCTTTGATGTAATTTTTTGAAGTTTAATACAATGTCATATACGCTCTCTTAATGAAAATTATTCAACTAATTTTCTTTAATTAAGAATGATACGTTAATAAATTTATTGCATATTTTTCCTTCGAATTCTATTGTTCTATTTGTTTTTCCATATTTTTCTTCAAAAAGTAAAGTAAAATATATAAATGACGAGTTTTAATTTATTATAGTATTCATATAATAAATATTTTGATAAAATAATCACGTTATGTTTTGCGATCGAAGTTGTGTTTTCGAGATGTTGTACTTGACTGTATACGTTCTTTATTTGAGTATCTTTTTATTCTCTTCCTTACATCTCTCATAGCATATTGGACCAGTCGAAAAAGACAATTAGCTCATCTCACCAGCTACAATGTGTTCCCTTCGCATTATCATATGATTACTATACAAAAAAATTTAAATACAAAAGTTTATACATTGCAATGGAATCTCCGAAGTTAGCAGCTTCGATTGTCGAAACGTCATGCCATTATTTTATTTAAATAAGTGTTACAAAAATATTATCATTAATCAGCATTAATTGTTTTGACTTTTTTACTCTTGGATAAAGATATTGAAAAATAAATAAAAATAGATAAGAAAGACTGGAAATATTGAAGAAAATCATCAATGTGTCCTTCGTACAGCAAAACTATTTTCAGGCACAAACAAACAAATATTCATCATAATGTACGCGATATACGGTCAGTTTATTCTCAAAAGTGCGTTCTTTTTCTTGTTCTTTCTTTCATCCTTCGTGCAGATATGTGATACTAATACACAAAAAAAAATGTGCACGGCAATGTGCGCTAAGCAATAATGTTGATATTGTGAAAACAAACCTTGCTTTTTTTTGTTTAGAAATGTTACCTTCAGCTAATTGAATATGATGAGTCTTCATTGTGCATACTTATATTTGTATATCTTTATTCAAGAATTAAAAAGTTAAAATTAAAACAAAATAATGTTTATTAAGTATGTTATTTATGTAATATTTTTTTGAGTAAAATAATGCATCAAGAATTACTATATGTTGAAAAAATGAAAACTTTTTTATTCTAAGATAATTCTTTGATTTCATTATAATAATGAAAAACGACATTATTCGATAATTAACAGATGAAAATCAATAGATGGAAAATTGTTTTGTTGGCTGAATTTTCGGTCATATTTATTCGGCGATCATCATAATAACATAGGCACATAAATTTAAATTGCTGGAACAACCTGTACCACCACATACATAATTGGTTTCAATTAAATTAGTTCCTATAAAATAATAGTGTTGAGTCTCTAAAGAGAGAAGAGTGATACCATGTTCAATTGGCTGCTGTACTATGTACAAAATATGCATTTATTCAACATACACTAATTCTTGGTGCTATTGCTGCATTTAGTTATCGAATGTTATAATAAATACATGCCCTGTAACAATAATATATTATAATTATTTGTTGTCTCAATCATTTAGGACGTCATGTTTTGAATAATATTAACTTTCATAGATAGTTCATGGTCGGAGTAGTAGTTCATTAAATTATCAGATATTGTGTGTTTTCCATACCATTGAATAGTAATCGTATTATGATTGTTTTTGTCACAATGTCGCTTCGAGGAAACTGTTGGTAGTGTTACTTTCACATTCCTAGATGAATCTGTTATGACCTGTGCTTACGCACAAGATCATATACATAGATATCTCTTTTTCCTTTCTCTCATCATTTTTTCCTCGCTATATCATTATTATTGTTAAGCGCGTATTGTGAACCTGCAATATAACAAGTTCATAAAAGAACATTAAGTAAAAATACACCTATAACAATTGGGGACCCTGTGCATTAAAACAAAACAAAAAACAAAAAAAGTAATCATGAATGTTATTAATGAAGAAAAACAACAAATATTAAATGATAATCAACGTGAAAAATTTCTTGTTGAACGTATTATTACTCATCGTTTTCGAAATGATAAAAAAGAATATTTAATTGCGTGGCAAGGTTATCCTGAAGAACAAAATACTTGGGAATCTCAGCAAAATTTCGATTGTCCTAATTTAACAGAAGAATATGAAAAACGTTTATTATCAAAATTTCGATCTATGATTAATGATTCATCATCTTCATCGTTCAAACCAATTGCTAATAATAAATTTCCTCTATTTGATGTACATCATGAAATTAATCATAATGATCAACCTTCATTATTAAGTTTGCTTCGTCAACATGTTGTTATTTTTTCTGGTGATTCAGATGAAAATGCTCGACAATGGTTTCGGCAAATTGATACAAAATTTACTGAACTTAATGTATCTTTAGATGATCGACTTGATATCATTGAATATTTTCTTGCATGTGATGCACTTATTTGGTATAGTACAAATCAAGATAAATTAAAATGCTATACTGATTTTTGTCGATTGTTCGCATTTGAATATATTAAACTTGAACAAGTCTCAACTCGTGATATTATTATAGAACAAAAAAATAAATGCTCATCATTAAATTCACCCTGCATTATTAATCCTACTTTTATTGATGCTTCTCCATATTGTTTAATTGCTCCATCAGCTCCAGCTGTTTACCATAATAAATCATTACAAGATTTAAATTCTAACTGCGTTTTTAATTCTGCTTTATCAACTGCAATATCTAAAGCATTAATTGATAAATTCATCAAAGATCCAATTAAATTTCATGGTGCTAAAGATAATGTTCTTGAATGGATTGATGAACTGGAACAACAATTTAAAACCATCCAATTATGTGATTCAGATAAATTAAATTTGATTCCCATTTATCTTAAATGTGAAGCTTATCAATGGTTTCAACAACATCAAACACAATTACCATCATGATCCATCTTTATCACCGATTACATGTCTTCGGAGAATATCCCCGGAAACTCAATTATGTCCTAGGGTAAGAGGTATAGAGATAGATAGGTATAGGAGGTAGAGTAGATATAGGAGGTATAGGAGATATAGAGATATAGGAGGTATAGGAGATATAGAGATATAGGAGGTATAGGAGATATAGGAGATATAGGAGATATAGGAGATATAGGAGATATAGAGATATAGGAGACAAAGTAAACAGTTATTTATTTTTTATGATTGATATTTTCGAGCAAGGGTCGGAAAGTGGTACCAGTATATTTTATGATTGATTTTTTTCGAGCAAGGGTAGGCAAAGTGGCACCAGTATATTTTTTCGAGCAAGGATCAGCAAGTGGCACCAGTATATTTTTTCGAGCAAGGATCAGCAAGTGGCACCAGTATATTTTATGAATAGGTGTTTAAATTCAAACACTATTGAATGATTAGCTGTATCAGTTAATCTATATCTCTATATCTCTATATCTCCTATATCTCTATGCCTCCTATATCTCCTATATCTCCTATATCTCTATACCTCCTATATCTCTATATCTCCTATATCTCTATATCTCCTATATCTCTATATCCGCTATATCTCCTATATCTCCTATATCTGCTATATCTCTATATCTCCTATATCTCTATATCTCCTATATCTCCTATATCTCTATATCTCCTATATCTCTGTATCTCCTATATCTCCTATATCTGCTATATCTCTATATCTCCTATATCTCTATATCTCCTATACCTCCTATACCTCCTACATCTTATATACCTATCTATCTCTATACCTCTTACCCTAGGACATAATCGAGTTTCCGGGGATACTCTCCGAAGACATCATATGATTGCATTAGAGTTGTGGTTGCCTCTACAGTGTATGCATTTAGCTGTCTTAGAGCAAATATGTTGTTTTAAATCACGACAAACTTCACCACAAACTTTACATGTATCATTGTCTTCCTTACAATTTCTTCTAAAATGACCCAAACCTAAACACTTTGAACAAATGAGTACCATTGCCGGAGCGAGATACTCAACCACATTGTAACATATTGCATTAGCCACTACTTTACCCACATCAATTAATTCATTTCTATCTTTAGTTGATGTAAGTTCTATTTTAACTACACGAATATCCTTTTGAAATTTGTTTTTCATACGAACCACATTTTTAATAGCTGGATATTTTTCTTTAAGATCATTTGTAAAATCATTAAAATCTAATCTTAAGTCCACATTTGTTATTAATAATGATAACTGAGCCGGGATTGATGGTTTTATAACAATAGTATAATTGCTATTGCTTAACATTCTCGGCCAGTTAGCATCGTTGTATAGGATGCAAAAAGAATTGCTATCTTTGACAAATAACAATAGATCACTTTCATTTGAACAACATTTTGCTGTAGATCGACGATATCCTGCAAATTCAACTACTTCGTTCATATTCTGTTTAATAAAATCGATCAATTCTTCAACAACTTTTTGTTCGTTGATATTCGTAACATGAAACCTAACAATAAATGGAGCAAACGGATACCTTGTCGTAGCATAACGTTCAGATTGTATCGTGATTTTATTATCGTTATTTATAGTATTAACGTTAGACACATTAATATTATTATCATTATCAGGATGTTTAGTTAGACATATATCAGAAGAAGTGTTTGAATATTGTTGTTGATCATCCACATTATCATTGTTAGTTATAGTATTAGTACTAAACTTCGTTCCATCATACTTTTTTTTCATTTTGTTTAACTTTTTTATTTTTATTTTTAACTAATGTGAAATCATCTTCAGTATCATAAGACAATGTACGTCTAATTGATGTAGAAGGTGAATTCAATGGGTGTTCATTAACAACTAATGTTGGTTGAACATGTGATTGATCTTGTCTAATATTCAAATTACCTTTAGACATAAGTTCATGAATGTAACCATTATGTTGATGAATCTGTTGATTCACTGACTGATTACGACAATTAGCCATAAAAATTTTTAGCTAATTATCCGAACGACTTCAGTACACTCGGTTTACTCTTGATGACCTTTCAGTGCAAACAAGAGGACGAGAAGAAAAGTATATACGTCTAATCAATAGCGTGTAACGAGTACGAATGAACTTTTTTTTTATTGGTAACACGATTATATTAATGTTTTCGCGCCATATATCTTATGCTAGAATTTTTTTTTATATGACAGAGCGAACATAAATGATGTATGTATTAGTATATTTCTAGTGCAGTTAAATATTTTCTATTATGTAAAATAAGTTTTATTAAAATCACAACGCAATAAAGTTAATTCTATAAGAGATTTGTGCGTTCGTTGATAAGAATGCGGTGATTCTTACCCTCACGTAGATATATAGAACACAAAAGGTCATCTTTCATTGTCACTTTCCACCAAAGTTGAGATTTCTACATTGAAAACGATAGATTGAAAGAAAAAGAAATCACAGTTGAAATTCGAAGACACTCATTTATTCGATTGGAAGTCAATTTGTCGCAGGGCAATTTGTCGCGAACAGTTAGTCGCATGTAGCATAATGAAAGAAAAAATTTAATTGCATATAGTGTGTTTGTGCTGTTCATTATGCGACGAGCTGTCCACGATGAATTGCCATTATACCATTTATTCTGGCGTGCCCGTTATTAATTATGTGAGAACGTGTTTGTTTCGATAAATAACAATCAACAAATTTGTTTTTTTTTACTATCAAAATTAATTTCTTACGAAATATAAAAGTACTGAACATAAAGAAATATGTGAGAAAAACATAATTAATTTTATAGGGTACGTTAAGTGACGTCGAAAAATATTTTCTCATTAAATGTGAAAATATCCTTCTAATGCAATTACTTTATAGTGAAGCTACTGAAATGCTTCTAATATTAGAAATTTCTCATATATTACGTTTTTTAAATATACTTTATTATTTGTCTTGATAAATTTTTTAGATAAAATAATGCCTACATTCACTCGATTTATTAACTGTTCTGAACGAAAAACATTATGGTCAATTTTATTGTTTCAAATTGCGCTTGTGGTACTTAGCTGGAATTTTATTGAAAGTCTCCAATCAAATAACGAATGTTGCACAAAATTGAGACGAGATTATTTTTTTGCTTCACCATATATCAATGTGCCGGATAATTGTACCTGGTGGACCCTTTTTTGGTTTCGACTAAATCGTTATACAATGTATTTGGCGAACATATTTCTTTTTTATGTTGTGGCTCACTATTATATACCAAAATTTCATTTATTAATGTATTTGTTTATATGCCAAGGCTTAATGTTCAATGCTCGTCGAGCTCAGGAACAAAATAATATTTTTTATCGGGATGCACCAATATTCTTGCATATAATATTAGCTGTCCTGTATCTTGAAAAAGAACCTTTTCGTGATTTAGCATTGTTAAGCAAATGGATAGAAATTGATAAAAAGAACGACGAACGATTAATCGCATCAGCAGATATCGATGCCCAATATTGGATCGATGTGATTTTTAAGATTAGACAATGTGACGACATCGTTTCCGTTAAAAAAATCATTAAACAAGCGGATAATGACATTAAAAAAAACGAATCGATCTATCAATTTTTGGATGAACCAATGTTGCCTGAGCCAGAGAAAAAAAATATAAGTATCTATTTACTTGTTTTTATTCATATGACAGCATTTTTGTTAGTTGTATTTTCTATTTGGAATCATATATTAATATTTTATCGATACTTCTATCTTCCGTTTCATCGAGAAAAGGCTGCACAAATCTCATGAATCATTTTTTTTGTTCTTTAAATGTTGTTATTTTGATATGTAAATAACTATTGTACTAAATAAAATTGTTCTAAAAAATAAATTGAATATGATTATATAAAGAATTCATGAATTATCTTAATCGAATTCATATAATCAACCCACTGTTTATTTCAATTCGAAAACAAAATTAAAATTATTATGCCTAAACATCATTATGAAATATTAATATGAATACAGAAATTTATGTAAAGAGAACTAGGATTAAAAAAAAGAGTATATCATTTCGCCTTTCGAAATTCGGTTCTTCTTCATTTCAACGACATCCCTACACTATTGATCAACTTAGACAAAGAACATCAAAGAGTGAGCAAGGGGGGATCAAACAATGTGAGTGCCGCGGTGTCGTTGATCGAAAGAAGTACCTAAATTTTTAATTTTAAAATTATTTTAGATAATAAAAAAAAACAAAAACTATCAAAACAAACCGAAAAGGATCATCGACCATTTCGGTATCAACTACTTCATGAACATTTAAATAATATAAATATAAATGTTGTTTATCATATTCGTTATCATGATACAATTGATCTTCAAACAGATCAAGATTTTATTTGTACAAATCATTTTCTTCAATCACTTTAACATTGGTCAACATTAAATTTTCGTGAAGCTTATTCTATACTTTATAATAAATTTATTCCATTATCTGGTTTATTTGAACATGTTAAAATATTTAACTAATTTATATGAATTATATTCAAAACTTTTATTTTCATCAACAATAACAAATACATTAACAACAAAATACGTTCATTTGCAGCTGAATCATTTCTATATTTATTATGTAAAATAGAAAATTATCAACCATTCATTGATTATTTATTTAATAAAAAAGTATCTGATCAAAATGAAATTGATAGTCTTGCATTAGCTTTTAGTGAAACATGTAAAAATGTTCAATCAACATTTTATTCATGTACAAAATTATTATTATGTATTTTTAAAAAATAAATTGAAAAATCAATGACAATTCAATCATGTATTAAAACAATTTATTTATTATTAATTGAATATACTAATAAAGAACATGTTCAAATGTTATGAAATTGTTTTATGGATAATTATCGTAAAATAGATCATCATCAACAAAATGATTATCTTATTTATCAAACATTTTTTGAAATATTTCAATTATTAATTGATCATAAAATGATAATTGATATATTAATTTATATTTAGAATTTTTAACAATGATAAAAACAAATGATAATAATGAATTATTAATTAAAAGTAATGATAAACAACAAATAATTGATTGATTGGTGAATTTTATAATAATAGAAAGAAAAAATTTCATATGATTTTATTATCAAATGATAATAGTCAAACGATTTTGGATAAAATTAATTTATTAAATACAAAAAAATAAATTTTTAATTAAAGAAAAAAAATAACTGAAAATGGTTTAGAATTTATTCAAGATACTTTATCAAATATTGAAGATACTCAGAATTTGGTAAGAATTTCTTTTATTTAATACTAATAAACAAGTTTTTGTATCCTAAATTTTTAACCGATCTATGCGTACATAGTGACAGTATAAAGAAAATGTTCCTTGGAAGGGACATTTGGTCTTAACGGACCAAAAAATTTAAACAACTTAAAACTTATTGAAGCATTAGGCAAGTGATTTTTCGTTTATTTTGGATCCAACTAAAGTCTATCGCATTGGATAAATGAAGGAAAAACCATCCATTCTCATTTCATCGTCAAAAATGTACGATGATTCCCATATTTTTTTTCGTCTGTAATGAAAAAATCGATCTTGTTCTCAATCCTGAACCCTTTGCGTTAGCTCTGACTGTGCTCTCGTAAGACATTTACTAACGGCATTCCTAGTAAGGGAAAACGGCTAACACATTACTGAGATGATCACTGTTTCTTCACTAATACTCACTAAACTATACATGGATGACTCCATGGACAAATCTTATATCAGAACAGAGAGTTGGTAAAATTTGAAAAAGTGCAAAATATTGCTTCAATTTGTTGTTTTGAGTAATAATAAATATATAATTAAAATTATTTCTAAGAAAAATTCTTTTAATTTGATAAGTCAACACAAATTTTTAATTTTAAGATAACTATATATTTTCTTAATGTATAATAAAGAAGAGAATAACGATAAATATAATAAATATTAATAAAATTTTTGTTTTTTTGTTTTGTTTTTGTTTTTTTGTTTTTTCTTTTTAACTAATTTTATTATTTTTAACAAAAGATAAAGATAATAAGAAAAAAAGGAGAAAAAAGAGAAAAGACAAGGAGAAAAATAAATAATTAAATAGAATATAAGGATAACGCGAGGCCTTTCAAATTGTTCTTTTTCAAGCGATAAAAGATGAATTCATGATCATTAATTTTAGTTGGAGGGATTGTATAGTGGAGATGCGTATTGATATAGGATAATTATTGATAATATTGAACATTGCATAGTAACATTCGATTAATGACGCATAAATATATATATAATAATAACAGATAATATCAATTAGTAATTCACAATAATCTGTAATAATGCAGAATAATGTATAATATAATTAGTAATATGCAATAATATGTAATAATGAAGGATAATGCACAATAATATGTAATGATGCAGGATAATGCATAATATAACTACTGTAGTAATGCATAATAATGTAGAATAATGGATAATATGATTCGCAGCACCTCATAGTGTTTAACAATGCAGAATAATGTATATTAATGTACTATATCACTAATAATACAATAATGCAGGATAATGTCTGATAATGTAGAATAATGTGTAGGAATGCGGAATAATGCACGATAATGCATATTAATAGATATGTCGAATATTGAAATTGGCGATATGTGTTTAATGTGTAATAGTAGAAAATAATGCATTATAATGAAAAATAATGTATTGTAATGAGAAATGATGTATTATAATGAGAAATAATGTATTATAATGAGGGAAAAGTATGTTATAATGGGGGAATAATGTATTATAATGTTTAGCAATGTGTAGTGATGTAAAGAGCGGAAAAGTTTTTTTGTTATGGTTGGGGTGGCAATGTTGTTGATTTTTTGCTAGGTCGTTTTTTTACTACTATCGAAATTTTAAAAGAAGGCCGGTGGAAAAAAAGCTTATAACTTTCGAACAAAAAGTCAAAGCGACCTGCGGTTTTCACCATTCGAAAGAGCAAAGCGGGGCACATGAACCTATGTAAAAGTCGATCTCTTAAATAAGGCATATGTTTGTCATTTTTTAACAATTTGTCGAAAGCAGCTAAAATAAGCTTCAAATTTTAAAACTTTGAATCTTCTTTTTCTCATAAGGAATCCTTTTCTTTCAAACAAGATAACTTCAACATTTTAGCTTGTTGAGTTCAAGTGATACAGACGCACCGTCTACTGTGTATCTGATGTTGGAATCAGTTATATTCCGGGGTTAAATATCAAAAATGGATATATTCACTGCAATTTTGTGCCAAATTTGAAAATCCAGGTAACAGGTACTTTTATGAACTGACCCATCGATTTTTACATAGATTCACGTGCCCCACTTTGCTCTTTCAAATGGTGAAAATCGCAGCTCGCTTTGGCTTTTTGTTGA